ATTCAATTTGAAAAAATCAAATCAAATTCAAATTGCTTAAATATTTGATTCAATTCGATTTTGAGAAACCCTAGTAACTAGCAGCAGGTATCAAATCCTTCTAATAGGTTTAATTTCACTGAATTAGCAAAATCTGGGTCAGTTACAATAATGTGGATTGCTAATGGCTGAAAAAGACCAGTGGAAACCTATAGGAAGTGACTAGCTATAAGATGACTTGTAAAAGTTGTTAGGCTGCAAATCCTCTTCCAAGCATTACGTACTATAATCAAAAAAAATTAATAAGGTTATACTAATTTTATCTATATAATATTTTATTACAATAACTATTTTACAAATATTAAATGGTTTTAAAAATAATTTAACTATAAAATATTTAAAATTGCATATACTTGTGATTTTACTATTAAAATTATACTTGGAAATATTATTACAATAATTTTGTAACACTTAAAATTTTGGCATTATTTGTAACAATTAAACAAATAAGATTTTGTTATTATTATACCAATTTTGTAACATATGAGATTTTGCTATTAAATCCATACTCTGAAGTATTATTACACTAATTTCATAATACTTGAGATTTTGCTATTAAAACTACACTTTGAAGTATTGTCACATTAATTTTTTAATATAAAATATAATGTTTTTTATTATAAACTGTTTTAATTTCTAAATAAAATTAATTTTTATATTTGAAATTATTAAAAAAAAAGTTTAAATATAAAATTAATTATTTTATTCCAATTATTTTAATTAACTTTTTTTATTTATATTATTAAAAAAAATTTATATTATAAATTATTAAATTTTAACAAAAAAATAATTTTTAAAATTAATATTTTCTAAAAAATTATAATAAAATTCTTAACTTTTTTTAATAATTTTAAAAAGAATTATAAAATATTATTATAATAATTCTTAAAAAAACCAATTTTCTAAAATTTGAAAATTAAATTTTTTTTATACAATTTTTATTAAAACTTTAAAATTTGACTTCTTTATAAATTTCTAAATTTAATCTTTAGAATTTATTATCTATCTCTTTATATTTTTAAAAAAAATAATTCTAATTCTACAATTTCTTCTGGTGACTGTCATATGTTTACAGATTTAATTCAACATAGATTTATATATAATTTAATTGAATTACATTTAGAAGAATATAAGAAAATGAATTGGTTTTAGATACTATACATGAATTAATGGTATTTTTTAAAGAAAGTGAAAATTGTATATATCGAAATACTAAAAGGCAAAAAGATATTAGAACTTATTTTGAAAAAGTAGGTTTTAAATATTTTTTGAAAGATATTTTAAATTAAAAGGATTAGAAAAAGTTGAATTAGAATTTTTATAAAATCACAATTAATGTCTTTTGAAATTATTAATGAAAGAAATAATAATAATTTACAACATCATCATTTATAAATATAATTTTAATACATCTTTACCTTTATGTAAATCTACATATTTAAAATTATGTGAAATATCTGATTTTATATTTCTATCAATTCAAACTTATTTTCAAATAAATAGTTTGAAAGAAAAAATTCATAGAAATGCTGGATATGTAAAAAGAAGAGATTCTAAAATTTATCTTGATTTAGAACTTACTTCACAAGTTAAAGAATATTTAACATAATATGCAAATATTAATAGTTTACCTTCACTTATAAGACATCATTATGATATTGGTAATTTTATTTATTTACTATGTGAAAAAAATATTACTTTAATTTATAACAAATATAAAATTCATTTTTATATTAAGCATGATGAAAATAAAAAAATAATATCTTATGATTTAAACATCTTTGGTATAAAATTATACCAAATATTAAGTTTTAATTACCAGAATCTGATCTTTATGAAATTTGTGAAGATTTTAGAAAACAATTAAAAACTTCTAAAAATAATTATGATGAATTTATAAAAAGTGTTTATGTAATTGATTTATTTGGTATTTGTAAAACTGGAGAAGAAAATTAACAAATCAATTTTATAATTGCTAACTAGGTCATATAAAATTTATTTGTGATTCATTTTTATGAAAAATCAAAAAAACTTTTAGAGATAATAAAATTAATATCATAGATGATGTTGAAAAAATTATAAATATCTGCAAGTGCTAATATAGGACTTAAATATAATAATAGGATTAGATAGAATTGGTATAATTTTCAAGACTTTTTTTCATAAAATATTATCAATTGCCCTCATATTAAAATTACTATTACTTTTGTTTTAGTAAATTATTTCAAGATTTAAAAAAAGTTTATTGTTCAAAAAATCTGGTAATGATGAAATTTCATTTGATCTTTTAAATAATAAGAATTTTAATATATATAATCAATTAAATATTTTAGAAGTGGTAACAATGTCAAGTAAAAAAGAAAATATTTGCATAAAAAAATTAGACAATATATAGATAATCTATATAAAGTTATTTATTGTTTTGAATCTTAATATTTATTATTATTATTATTTTATTTATTATTATTTATTTTTATTTTTATTTTTATTTTTACATTTACTTTTATTTTATTTTATTATTTTATTTTATTTTTTATATTTTTTTTTAATAAATTTTCATTTATAAATTATTTAATTTATTTTTAACTAGATGAAAAAAATTTTTTTTTTGGAGGGTATGAATACTTCCTAAACTCCCATTAATGAAAATTTTATGTGTAAGAATTAAATTTTTTTAAAAAAAAAAAAATTTGAAACTATAAACTATTAAATTTAATTTTAAATATATGTCGATCATTTCTAAAATTAACGTCAACATCTAATTTTAGATTTTATGATCGATGTTACACAGAATTTTAAGCATTTTTGCTGGCCTAATTGCTTGCTTTATTAATAAGCTAATAGCCTCTAAAAATTTAACCAAATAAAGTTCATTTAGTATACTATAATATGAATCAAAAATCTCATTTTTTGTTGAAAGGTCCCCGGAACCCATTTTTAATAGCAAAGCTCCCCAAATATGTCCCATGAATTTTTCTGCATACGTTAAATACGAGTATCATATTACTAAAATCTTCAACCGTTAAATTGATTCATATTTAATAATTAATAATTGACATTCGATAATTTTTTTTTTTTTTTAATAAAAACTTTATTTATATTATAAACATTTTTTAAACATTACGAAAACTTTATTTAATATACGTTCTTGTTTAATACATTAATAATAATTGTAATTGTTATACGAAGATGACCATACAACTCATATGACAAGACCAAACAAAGAACATAAAGATAAAAATAACTTACATCCACTGCAGCCAGAGCATTGCATGGTTAGGTAACCCAAGAGTGACCCTTCAGGAAGAGGTAGAAGCCAGGCCTAGGAAAGCGGTTTTCTCGACTCGTAAAGGAAGATACCTAGCAATTTTCTCTTTTAAAAAAAGCAGACCCTTACCGAAAAAAAACCACCTTCTCCCGAGTAGGTTACCGTCGACCCCCTTCCCGTCGCGCCTCCTTGAAAGCCCAACAAAAGTTGGCAAGTACCTCTCAAGAATAGCTCTAGCCGCCGCTAAACCGTTCGTCCGCCACTTGGTCTATACCGGAGAAAAAATAATAATATAATAAAATTAACAAAAAACAAATACTGTAAATATTACCCGACTTTGTCCTTCTTCCATTTCGCCGCTGTTTGTCTAATAAAATAAAGAATATTAAACGTTAATAAAGTTCAACACAAACATTTTTTTTGGCCTTGTCAATATGAGTTGTCGTAAGAAAAAAAGAAGTATATTTTTTTAATTTTTGGAACGTTTCCAGTTATAGTTAAAATCATGAGATATAGTAAATCTATTGATATGTAATGTGTGATTTTACCAAATTTGCGATCAAAAATGGCGATCTTCAACAAGACTTTACGATATCTAGGTTCGAGCCGCATGTCGTAATAATCACAACAGACGACAAGTAAAAGATCTATTATATTTAAGCCAGTTATTAAGATATAAAGATAGGAAGGAGTGTCGAAACAACCACCTAAGTGGAAGGAATGGGTTAATATATCCGGTGGCTTCAGACCAAAAGGCTTATATGTCTTAGCGCCAAGAGCTACGTGTTCATATGAACTAATAATTTTATAGCTTCAAGCACAAAATGAAGAAATAAATCATTTGGACAAGTGTTGAAACAAAAAAAATCGAATCAGAGTATATAGTTATTGGGCAGGGACGGTGCTGTTCATGCCAAATAACTCTTTTATTGAGATGAGAATTTGTTACGGAATTACAACTTCTAAAAAAAATCAAATTATTGCAATTTGATTAAATATATTATTTCTTTTAGTGAATTTAGCAAGTTCAATTTTATATGAACACGTGCATTTTATTTAATTAATAAAAAAAAGTTTAATGCGATTATTTCCTTTCTACATTGTATTAATATGTTTTCAACTGTTTGTGCAGCTATTACAGAAAGAGTGATGAAATTTTAAAAAATGCAAGAAATTTTATGAGGTTCCGAGACGATTCAAGTAAAAAGGTGAGATTTTATGATGCTTCTTCTTCGTCATCACCTTCTGGTCGTGGAGCCTTTTCAGCTATTATCATTCATGATTCAAATTCATAAATTCATCTCATCAATATTTATTGTTAAAAAAAAAAAATAAATAATAAAATAAAAATCAGGTTTTAAAAGTTACCTTTCTTGGATCTCTTTGGTAATAAATTTTGATGAATGTTGGGCAAGACACCACCTTGAGCAATTGTAACTTTTCCAAGCAATTTATTCAATTCTTCGTCGTTACGTATAGCTAATTGAATATGGCGAGGAGTGATCCTAGATTTCTTGTTATCATGTGCGGCGTTACCAGCAAGCTCTAGTATTTCCGCTGTCAAATATTCAAGAACTGCAGCAAGGTAAACAGGTGCTCCAGAACCGACGCGATGCACGTAATTTCCATTTCGAAGATGACGATGAATACGTCCAACTGGAAATTGAAGACCAGCCTAAAAGGTGAATTGCAATGTAAATGAAGAATCAATATCTTAATAAATGTCGAAATAAAAAAATAAAAATAAAAATAAAAAAATACCCTTGAAGATCTGGTAAAATTCTTTGCGGCCGGTACATTCTTACCCATACCTTTCCCACCACCGTTTACAACTTCAGTAACTTCAGTTGACTTGTTTTTGCCCATACCTTTACCACTAGTGTTAGTCATCTTTCTTTTCTTTCTGATTTTTTTTTGAAGGTTTAGTACAAAAGTTTATTGAATAAGAATTTTTACTTTTTTTTTTGAGGAAAAAATTAACGCGACGCGATAAGGGCAAGTGTTTCAGTAAAAAAAAGAATAGTATTTATATTTCAAATTTCCGCAGTAATAATGTATGACGTATATGAAAGTTTGTGTTCGACCTTTGTCTAACCTTTAACAACCAAACGTAAGAACTTTTTAATAATTAAGCACATGTCCTACTATCATGATGATTGCATTATAATTAAATAATTCGTTAATGATGGAGTTTTTCGCACACGTGACTTTCACCCAACGTTACACAGTTTTCATTTCAAAGTCGTTTATATGATTCAATTTTCAATTTTGATTAATTTATTTTATGGAGAAATAATTTTAATTGGAATTGACATTTTTGTTTAATCAATTAATTAATTTTTATATATAGTTCAGGTTGATTTTTCAGAATTTTTTTATTTTTATTTTGATCAAGGATCGCAAAAAGAGATTTTTAGTTAAATTTTGTTTTTATTTTCATTTTCATTTTCATTTTTTTTTTGACATGATTTTTTTGTCACAACCGATTTTATTTTTTGATCAGTTACTTTATTTTATTATCAATTATTCTTAAATATGTTTAATTTTTTTTTATGCCATACTTACTGCACTAATAAAATAGATTCGATTTTTTATTTGATTTTTGATTAAATCAATTCTAATTTGATTTCGATTAATTCGATTTTGATTGAATCAGTTCCAAACCCTACTTTAAACCATCTCCTCTTAGCACTTTGAACATACTCTAACCTTTGAGTATTACATTTTGTGTTTCAAATCTCGTTAATTTCTTTTTGTAAAATCAAATATAACAACATCCATCAATCCAATCTGCCATATATATTTCAGAACATCCACTTTTAGTTAAATAATTTATATTTTGAAGATTATTATGTGATTTCATTCAATATATGAAATGCTTCCGTTAGTCATTTCATTAATTTCATCGTTTTGGACGTCCAATTTAAAAATTAAATAATTTCGAATACAAAGTTCGCAGTACGATATTGCTAAACATTCTTCTTGATAGTCCTCACAAATTATTTTCTTCCTTGTCAAATGAAAGAGATATGTCAGCTATTGTATAATTGCTTGTTATCTCAATTCAACTTTTGTCTATGCCTTGTCAGATATCAATGTAATCTCTTTATCAAATAATTTAATTCTCTACGAATATATATGTCATAGTCCGGTAAATTAATCTTCATCAACTTTTACTATTTGGGTATATTAGCTCTGTTTTCATGCAATCAACATTTACTAAATTAATAATCATACGCAGTTGCAGAACCCGAAGAAATGGATTGCATGCAACTTAGGTAATACACTTGTTCTCCATAAAATAAATCTTGATTTAGCATTTTAATTTCACATGCAAGCCTCTTTTTACTGCTAAGGGAATCAGAATCTCGAAACTCTTAAAACAATGTTAATAGAAAATATCAGTTTATAGGCTGGTACCTTATCTACTAAAAAGTGTTCTCAGATAATTTTAAAAAAGTCTTCATTCAACTATATAATTTCAAATTATATCCATATATTTTTATAGTATGTCAAATACAGCATATATATTTATACCTAGCTGACTTTGACAAATAATTTAATTTTAAAATCCAAGTTTAAGATCACAAAATCACGTCCTCAAAAAAAAAAATTCATTTTTCATTCCTATTACTATTTTTGAAGAATTCAGTACAATGATGAAGGCGCGAAACATGTTAATCTATAAATTTGTACCTTTAAATTTACCAAATTTTAATTCATTTTTCATTCGTTCATGATTTAACATTTCTTCGCATGCTTCTTGATACTACTTGATATTTATCACAAGACCTATGTAATACATCCCATTAAGGCATATTTTAGGCAAACTCGCATATAAACAACAATGGAAATCTTTGTTACACCAAATGATCAGATGACCTAAACACAAATAAAAGTAGTTGTGAATATTTTTCCATATTTTCTTGTCACTTTCAAATTTCAATCATGCGAACCGGCATTTACCCCATTCCGAGTATCACCTATAGATTGCTTCATGAAATCTTAAAGGTAGAATAATATTATCTTAATCAAGTCTAGAATAAATTGTTTCGTCGATTTAATTTTTTCGCGTGCACATAGAACTTGGGCGAGTATAACAGAATAATTGCCATTACTATTAAAAATTATTCGACGCAAATAGTTCTTGAGGACCCTAAAGTATATTTTCAAAATGGAACGGCAGATTCTAATCTTCCTTTGAATCGAGTTACAAATGGTAATGGCCTGGTTTGGAGTGCCCGTAAGATTTCAGGCGCGATGTTTGGAACCAGGGGAGTTATAGTTTATCATATTAAAGATCGTAAAGTATCTTTAGTCTTTATGTGGTCTGTTCCTTTTAACTCCGTCTTTTACAAAAATTTATGGAATGTTAAAGTTTATGATGGATTTGTCAAAGCTAATCAGGGTAAGAATTCAATTTATTAAGTTTAAAGCTATCACCAATACATTGATCCTTTGTGTTGTTTGTCTAGACTTAATCGATCATTTATGCCATGACAATTCTTATTACGGAGACAGTAGCGTTTATCATGGCACCATTTGTTCTTATTTGCGATGCGTAGGATCTATGGGAGCTTCTTCAACGCCTACAGTTGAGGTTGAGATCCATGATTATAATCCTACAATTGCTTATGCGGAACTTCTAGATGGGTATTACACAAACCTGTATAGTATGGCACGGTTCTCTTTTTTGTATATAGCAAACCTGTATAGTATGATTTTTAATATAGTATTGTATACCTGTTTGACGATCTACAATTCGTGTAAGAAATCCATCTCAAAAAAAAATACTACTAAAAAAATGATATGTTACACAAGGATTTTTTTGAGAAAATCAAATTTAATTCAACCTAGTTGATTTTTTTTATAACAAGCGACTAGATTCAATATTAAAAATTTTAAAATTTTTAATAAACATTTTTCTTTAATTTAAGTAAAACCATTAAATAAATTTTATAATATCATGGTGACCATATTGGAATAAAGCTTCGATCGTGCATCTTGCTTTTCAAAAAAAGCTTTAAATAAGAAATGCAGTTTTACCAGAGGATATTAAATAAAAAAAAATTATTAATATGGACAAATTAAATATTTGAAACTCATGCAAAGTCATTTAAGAGAACAAACATAAGATACCACATTGCATTATTCCCTCTTTGAAGATGATCATATAATATATGAACCGGCTTTGAATTATAAATGTTGCAAAAATTCTAAATCAAAAAAAAAAGAATTATAAAATTAATTTTTGCAATTTATGAAAGGTATTGGAGCAAACTTTAATTTTGATGTTGATTGTTACCTTTGTGAAATATACCTCTACTCATAACGACGACGGAGGCTGCCGATTCATGATTTTATTCATCATACTTACCTATTCTGCTTACTTCGCTTACTTCCTTTTGTTATAATATAACCGCAAAGAACTAAACGTGTCATTAGTACAATTATTATTAGAATAAACAGATACCGTTTTTTCATAAATTTCGTGGAAAAAATTAATTGCTAAGTAAATCGCTAATTTTTTTTTGACCAAAAAAACATAATTTTGATGATTTCATACCCGTGATTCTCATTGTGAGCAATTAGATTTTCTGATGATTGCATCTCTTTCTTCAAATTTCATTTCATGAGTACATATTGGTCATATTGGTACGATTTGCTATCCTTTTAAACGATCCTGCGAATTTTAGTGATTTATTCAAATATTATAAATCAAGTATAAAATTAATTATTCTCTCAAAAGTTTATGATTATGTCATTCAATATATCTTGTTTAAATGATCCAGGTGACGATATATATACAGTACCCGGTAAATATATATGTTAACATGTGATTCCCATTTCTCTATTCCAGAGGACACATTTGTTTTTGCAATTCGTTTTCCAACCATTCATTCTGAATCCTCATGTTTTTCTTTCGTTGATAGATAATGAAACCATTAGCTGATCAACTTCGACTTACAAATTCGAATGAGTTGAGTGAAAAGGGAGGAGAAACTTAATGAATGACAACAAACTTTAGTAGTTTCCACGTATTAAGATCATATCCTCTATTTAAATTTTCCCCAAAATTTCTTGTTTTTATCCATGCTGCATGTAATTGGTCAATTTTCAACAGGTGATAAAATCGAAATTGCAAATTTTTTTTTTTTAAAAAGGCAAAACCACGAAAAGTTAAGACGGGTGGCAAAAATTTGAAGCGGCTGGCAAATGATTCGCCAGGTGATAAAATTTCAACTGATAGTAAACCTATCAAAACCTTTAATAGTAAATTTCAATTACCCTCAAAATAGAATTCCTTTCGGGTATGTCCGAATCACTTTCTAGGTCCGAAAATAAATTTGCCAATTTAGTCAACGTTAAATTGAAATCTCGAATCATCAATCAAAAAATTTTGAAACATCGCATCGAAATCCAACGAAATTCGAATTCCGTCAAAACCGAATTAGGGTTTTGCCTCGAAACAAGTGTAGCAGAAATATTAGATGCTGAGTTTCGAATTATTTTCCCACACGGGGAACGAGGCTCGATATTACAAGCCAAAACCCTATTTGGCATTGATTTCTTTGTGAAGAGGTACTAACATAAAAAGGAAACTGAGCATATCAAGTCTTATAGTTATTTACATATATCGATATTATTATATTCAAAATATATTTAGTCAGCATTTCAAAGCAAATATGATTTTCTCATTAGTTTTTCACCGCAAAAGGGCCATACCATCATATTAAATTTCACAATTTGACATTATGAATATAAGTATATAATTTATTCAATGATTGATAATTACATATTAAATGTTAAAAAAGATAATGCAATCAGAAAAAAATAAAAATTCAGAATAGCAATTCTTGATCCGCAGTACTATTGCGGCATACGAATTTATTAAGGATATTATGACTATGAGACTAAGATTAGGCTTATTGCTTATTAAAATATGAATTCGTCAGTTACATACTTTCTCGCAATCTTTGTTATCACCACGATCGCAAATTGTTCTTAAAGCGGCTTGGCATTGATAAAGGTGGTCAGGAATGATTTCGAAAGAAGGATCACATTTATCTAAAAAATGATAAAAAAAAATGTAAGAGATGATGATAAATGAATCAGAGCACGGCGAGTCGACTTTAGATTTCAATTATTTACCTAATTCACAACCACAGTATGTAGGTTGAAAATCTATAGGACATTTGCAGGACTTCATTGAGCCACATTTGGGGGGAGCTAAGGCATCAACGATGAAGAAAGATAATAAACACGAGATAAAAAGTAGATAAATACAAGACTTCATTTTCGATAATATTATTATTATTGTTGTTGTTATTATTTTGTTATTTCGTAAGATTTATTTTTTAAAGAATAATGATTGCGGCAGCACCGTTATTTATATTAATTTCCTGACATTCATTGATGATAAAAGATGAATTTTCTTGGCTTCTTATTCGTTGAAGAAATTGATGATCTTAAAAATAATATCGATTTTGATTTGTAACGATAGAATGGATAGAATGGGGTATGAAACCTCGTGTTAACTCATTTTTCATTCCGGAGTTTCCTTGTTTTGGCCTTTTTTAAAGTTACATTACTATTATGCGTCGCATTTTTTTTAATTTGTATCGGTATGATATGGTGAAAATTTTCAATTCATTATGAACTCATTCTTTACAAGTTATTCAAATTCATTAAAAATAAATTGAACATAATTTAGAATAACATAAATGAGAGAGAATATGTACAATTCTCACGTTTTGAAATTCAAAATGAGTTTCACAAAAAAAAATCTCAATTACGAACTGAAAATCAGAGAAATAATATATTAATTTTTAATTTTTTTGAGAATTGAATTATTTGTGAATAAGTCAAAATGTTCTTACCTCCATTTCTTTCACGTGAACAATATATATTATAACGTGAACGAAATATGCTTAGTTATTCAAAAACAAATAATATAGACTTTTTAAAAAGTTTAATTGAAAATTTTATTTTTTAATTATGAAAATCTTTTTTTTATGAAATTGAGAATAGAAGGGGATCTACTCCATTTATAGTATGAGTGCGTTTTAGGGAAAGTTTGTTTTCATTTGTTGTCGATCACGGTGTTATGATTGACTGAATTAATTTCATTTCGAATATCGAAAATCATTTCGAATATCGAAATTTTCACGAGATTATATACGCGTATTACAGATTTATCTATCGGGATTTTGTCTCAAAAATGGTTCGAAAAATATGGTCCATGCAACAAACGCCGGGCATATTTATTATAATTTCTGACCAGAATTATATATAAAAGGAATTATCTACAAGTTAATTCTACATAAACACATAAACTAGAGTTTATTAGGAATTGCATGCATTGCATACGAATGTTGCTTACGTGATGAAAAATAATTGTTGAAATTCTGTTTCCGACAATATTCTCCTATCTAAATCTGGTTATGTTTATGCCGAAAATAAAATTTGATAGTTAATACTTTCTCTTGGGAATGTCAAAGGCAGTGGGCAAATAATAATCATTCCCCTTTCTTTCCTTTATTTTTCTTTCCGATCGGTTGGTTTGCGCAGATCAATTTTATTATTATTATTATTATTATGTTTCGGATTCGTTCTTTCCAGGTTGCACTTATCGAAATGATAATTTTAAAAAGTGCTGTATGAGTATGCGAAAACTTGAAATTTCAAGTATCGTACTATAATAATCGAATAATAAGATCTTATTGTGGTAATAATTAATTTTATTTAAAAAGAACATTAAAAATTAGTTCCATTGAATTATGGCTAAATAATTGAAAAAAAAATGAAAATAAAAATAATACATAAAAAAAATACAAAAATGATTCAAAGTCATAAATTATAAGAAATTATTTATTAAAAAATGTGATCGTAAAAAAAAGTATTGAAATGATCATTTTAGCAGTTCACATAGGTCATTCACATGGATATACTTGCCAATTATATTCAGCATCACCATGAAGGTGCCAACATTTATGCTCATAATTATCGAATGGGCCAAGCCATTTATCTGTTATAAATGGATAAAATCCGAAAACAAGATAATATGATTGTATATCGTTAGGGACTTCAAAATGATATCCATTGTCTGACATTGCCATTCCACCGGAGATTTCAGGGGTTTTGTTCCAAGTCCAGTTTCCAGTTAGATTTGTTAAGGTGGCTGAAGCCGCAGTAAGAGTACCAGAAACTACTTTGTTTTGTACCCATATCAGATAGCCTACATAATTATTATTTACATCCATCCAATACAAAAGTTATTAACGACGATTATTAAAAAGCTAAACATGATTATTCAAATGTTTACCTTGAGAAAGAGGAACTAATAGACCAAAAATTATTGCAAAAACAAAGGAAGGTTTCATGACGAATCAACTTTTTTTTTTAATTGTTTGCAATTGTTTGTGTTGTTATGTAATTTTTGAGGAATTTACGATTCTGATTCATATATATAGAAAATTTTGTGACGCCGATATTGCTTAAAACAATTTGTGATAAAAAAAATATCAATTCATTTGTATTAGTAAAATTACTATTTGGTACATATGATAAAGTTGAATTTTATCATATGCATTTTCAAGGTTGTCGTTACAAATAAAATTAAATATTTATCGAAAATTATTTCATGGAGTATTGATTATTAATTAAAATAAGAGTATTATTATTAAAAAAAATCTTATTGCGCCCAATTTAAAATTAGAATAGATTAAGCCATAGATCATTCAAAATTAATGAATTATTATTAAAAGATATCCAGTTTGTAATTTTAAGTAGATCACAATCAGTGAAACCACCGCACATTTTCGTAATTCAGGGTGTTTGAAATGGAGATCAGTTAATTGAAATTAATTCTAGTTGTGAATTGAAATCCGAAGATCAATTAATTGAAATTCAATTTCAGACATTCGACTATCTGACTGATTTTCAACTTCAAACAAACCTAAAAACCTTATTTTAATCAACCAATCACAATATGCCAATTTTTTTTTTACAATTTCGTAATTAAAATTAAATTATTTATGATTCTTTGCCTATTTGAAATTTTATAGATATTATTTTTTAAAATATAAAAAAAAACTTTTTTTGATCGATTCTTAAATGAAAATATATATATTTATTTATTTATTATTATTATTAGCAGTTTTCGGTCGATGCCCCGGAGGTTTCTAGCACAACCAGATGTAAAAAATTGTAAAAAAAAAAATTATTTAAGATAAAATATTTTAAAATAATTATTTAACTTATAATATCTAATAACCCTATTCCTAAGCTAACCCTAGTCCTATTAACCATAACCCCAACCATAACCCCAACCCCTACTAATCCCTAATACTAATCCTAACTCTAACACTAACTCCAAAATCCTAACCAATCATGTATATTTTATTCTTAATAATTTTTTTTTTTAAGAAAAAGATTTATTTTAATCATTATATTTATTTATTTTTTATTTAATTTTTTTATTTGAAATTATATTGACGCCAATATATTTTTTATTAATTTTTTTTATATTTAAAATTGATTTTATTTAATTTCGAAATTTTTCTTTGCAAATATTTTTTTTAAATTAATTTTATTTTTATTTTTATTTAAATTTACAACTTTAACTGAATTTTTAAACTAATTTACCGGTTGAGGTTTCAATTTTTATTTATTTAATTTAAAAATTTAATTTGATAGAAAATGTCGCCTCTGACTATCATGATTGATAGATTTAATTATTGAAAAAATAATAAAAATTATTTTTTTAATAGAAAATGCCGCATTTGACTATCAGGTTGAAATAATAATTTAATTATTATTTTTTTAATTGATAATGCTAACTTTAACTGTGCAAGATGAATTTTATTTATTTTATTATTAAAAAAAGGTGATAAAAATTATTTTTTAATAATAAATGCTTGCTTTTGACTTTTGGGATGAACTTTATCGTTATTATCAAAAAAATAAGTTTTTTTTTTATTTTTTAATTATAAATGTTGCTTTTGACTTTTAGAACAGATTTTATTATTAACGTTAAAATATAATCAATTCTAATTATAAATACTATCTTCAACTTATGGAATGGATTTTTTTATTTCCCATTTAACAAATCAAATCCAAATCCAAATCCAAATCTATTAGATTTTAACAAATTCAAATTCAAATCTGATCTGAATCTAACAGATTAAATCAAATTAAATTTATATCTAAATCTGACTTGAATCTGATAAATCTGATTTAATCTGATATATAAGATCTGGATTAGATTCAGATTAAATCAGATTTTGCAAAATACTAATATGTGATATGTCTAATAGATAACTTGTTAGTTATAACATAATAGAATATAAACTGTTAGACAATGTTAAGATTGCTAAAGAAATTAGAGGTTTTTCATTTGTAAAATTATTTATTAAAATGCTAAAATTTTACTAAAATTATAATAAATCTTATAATTATTTATACGGAAACTATGATAAAATACTAAAATGCTAAAACTATCATAGTAAATACTAATCTAAAGTAACTATGATGAAACTATATTAAACACTTAAAAAATTTCTTCAAAACCAATGATAAAATATTGAAAAAATTTAGGCAAACATTCTTAGATATTATTTTAAAGCATTTCTATCTACTATACTAACCAGACATTTTCATAGCATAAGTTTTGTGAAGAAATTCTATAATTAAAACAAATAAATTAATTTCAGTTAGTATAGAATATTGTGAATCTAATATATACAAATTTGTAATTATTTGTAAATGAATAATTGACAGTCCAGTCTGTTACTAATAATGTAACTTTATTATATAAATAATCTATATTTTATCAACATTTAAAATTATTTCTAATGCTTTTATATAATTATTTATAGAATGCAAATATTTTTGGATGTAAACTCTTTATTCAACATTCTTCTTTCATTCTGCATTATCATAATAATATATTGTAAGCAACTTAATTTGATTAAAAGAATATATCTTCATATTATAAGTGAGCAGCTATTACTTTTTAATTGGTATATGAAATATCAAATATTTAATTGCTAATCTATATTGTAATCAATAAAATTTACATAGTAAAATATGATATTAATTTAATTAATAAAATAAATTACATTGAAATCTCTGTTTTCTAAGAAATAGCAAAAATAAATACTCATATAATGTCAGAAAAACTTATTAAAGCTAGTACTATTATGCTATAATTACATTATATTCTATTTACATGATTGGTGAATTTTTTTAATAAAATAATGCTTTTTAATATATTACTTTACTACTAGGACTTGTAATTATATTTTAACTCAATAAAAAGTCCTTTTATTATTTATGTAATTCATTATGTTCATAGTTTTTACAACTAGCTTATATGGGATGAATGCTGCAAAAAGGAACCAAATTGTAAAAAAAAGTTTTTTTAAGGTAATTAAAGTTCTGAATAAAACAATAAAAGTTACATCTAATTCATTTAGGAATAATTTTTTGAAAAAAATTCAATTTGGTCTCTTTCTACATCATTCACATCATATTTGTGAAGGAAAAAGAAAAGTAGTGAAGTTGTTGAAAATGCTTTTAAGGCCATTTCTTCTGTTTACTAACTGTTTTTGGTACTCAAACAAATATGCTGGGCTTTCTTATTTAGGTTTAGAATAGCTAGTAATATCTTAAAAGCTATTAGAAGAAATTATATTTAATCATTTTATTGTTAAAATAGAAAATATAATTAATTTTGTTGGTTATCTTAGTAATATTCGAGCAAATACAAGTAAAATTAGTCATAATTACTCAGCATCTTTATTTTATAAATATAAAAGAATACAGTCAGTTTTTTTTAATGTGTATATCAAAATTCATGTTCAATTACAATTTATCAGAATAGTCAAATTATTGCTGAATATGAAGACATTTCGCCTGATTCTTTTGGCATCAAACTGGAATTCTAAAATCATTATCATGTAACACTTTATTCGCCATAAATCATCCTATAACTTTGAGTAAGCAGTGCTCGCATTACAAGTATCTATGCCTATTCAATATACTATTACAAGCTGGCATGATAAAACATTTATAAAACATTTGTTTAACCTTTATTTAAAAAAGGTTGCAAATGGATCAGCTGAAGAATGGCATCATGTATTTCAAAGTCAGACACAGCAAAAAAACAATAAAATAGAATTTTATGTTATAATACAAATCACGAGTTTCAAGAACGTGAATTAAGAACATAGCGTGTAATATTTCACGTTACAGTATTATAAACATAAAAATGATCATTATAATAGTAATAATTTCTTGGTTAATAATACTTTTTTTTTAAAAAAAAAATTACAACCTTATTCATAGTTTATTTACTTGTTCAGAAAGGAACTCTAATTTTATTGTGTGATCATTTGCAAGTTTCATTTGAAATTACTGACTGTTATATAACAAACAGAAAAATCCAATACTATTTATTGTATCAATTGCAGTTCGTGTTGCTCCTGAGAATGATAAGTACAACCCATATTAAAGTAATTAACAAACTTATTTCATATTCCAGCTATAATATAACAGAAACTCCCAATTGTTTTTTTGCTTCTATCTTCATATATTCAGATCCATTGTTAAGAATTAACGCTTTTACCAAATTGTCAAAAGAGCTTTTAAACGTGGGTCAGATTTTCAGTAATTTGTCGAAAAAGGGTTGGATCGAGCTCTATATTACTATGTTTCTCATATAAAACTTTCGTAAGCTTGTCAAATGTGTTGTGTAGTTTTTTGGTTCTATTATTAAATAGAAATCAAATAGATTTATAAATAAATAACATCGCCATTACTTACTATTAATTAATTTGCTTTTATTATCTATCTCTATGAGAAGAAGAGTTTCTGGCTTCTGGTTATGATCACTTCAACTAAACTATACACATAACAAATTGCTAACCGACTCTCAAGTATGCATGTGAGCTTATCGTAAGCTAGTTGAGTAAATTGTCAAAAACGACCTGTTTGATTATTACAACCTTGCACTGTGCAGATCCTTGAGAGATTGTAGTACTGCGCCGATTAGTGCTCCGAGCCGGTCGAATCGACCCGGGTCATTTGACCCGACTCGAGAAAAAATTCGAGTCGGGACTATCA